TGGCTCATGCCGGCCATCCAGCAGCTGATCGCGTCACCAGGCTACTTAGCACTCAACGATGTAGACGAGAACCTGCGATTCCAGCTAGAAGAAGCACACGACGCGACATTCTTCCAAGTGCGGGGAGAAGAGCTTTGCGCGGAGAGCCGCAAGGGCACACGCCCAGGCAACGGCCTGGCCGACCTCATCTTCAACATCAGCTTCGCGCACGCCCTGGGCCCGCTGGAGCAGGAGCTACATTCAGGAGGGTACTTACTACAACTACCACCGGCGGGCGAACAAGCCATTGTCACGTCAGGCCAGCTCCAAGGGCTGGAGGGGACCCTGCCAGAAGTGTCCTTCCTGGACGACGCGACGTTCCTGTGCGTACTTAACGACAACACGAAAATCGAGAGCAGCATCTTCGACACATTGTCCATCATTGCAAGGAGACTCAAGATCTTCGGGCATGACCTACACCCCAAGAAGACTAAAGCGTTGCTGCATATCGATGGGCACGCCAAACAGCATATCAAGGCGAAGATTTTCAAGACGAATCCCATCGCGCTGCTGCGCGAGGATGGTCAGCCGCCAACCAGCACTGAAGTTTCAACGGCGGAGGTCACGACCCAGGGGCTCACATTGGGCAATATTGTGACAAGTGATGGCGGGGAGGGGCCGAACCTTATGAGACGCATCATGGACCGCAGATCCGCAGAGGGCCCCTTGAAGAAGTCCATCTTCCGCCTGCCGCACCTCGACCTCAAGGCCAAGCTGTTGTATCTCACGGCACTGGCGCAAAGCAAGCTGACCTACGACTGCGAAGTTTGGGGGCCACTTACAGTACAGCAGAAGCAGATGCTGCAGAGCAGACACATGGCGAGCCTGCGGGCCGCCGCAAGACAACAGCGACACAGCGCGGGACATGTGCATACCTTGGATGACGAAATATACTTGTTGTGTGATGAAGTACCGATCCATATGTACCTGCGCCGACGGCGCCTGATGTACCTGGCCAGAATGTCGCATGCAGACACGCCCTTCATCCACCGCCTCATCGACTAACTTTGGGAGGATGAGAAGGCCTGGAATGCTCTTATCGTCGAAGATCTGGACTGGATAAGAAGTTTCCTACTAGACGACGAGGACATCGGCAGCGACACCAGGGGCTTGTTACGGTGGCTACGCACACAGCATGTGCGAGCCGCACAAGCCACGATCACCCGTGCGTGGCTCAGGTACAAAGCATGGCAGCACGACATATATCGTCATCGAGTATGGCAAAGGCAGCTACACCGTCTAGCGCAAGAGTTTGGAATGACCACGCCCAACTTCGAGGGGCTGCCGCCCGCACAGCACTGTGGCTACATATGCTATGAGCGTGGCAAGATATTAAAAACTCGGGGAGCATGGAAGCGCCATCGCACCATGGAACACATCGGCTACGACCTTCCCGAATTGCTTGCCCGTTCGACTACCTGCCCTGGGTGCGGGAAGAACTTCATAACGAGATCCCGCATACTCAAGCACCTGAGAAGGTGCCCCAAATGCCTGGCGGTCCTCCAAGCAATCGAGGTCCCAATGGATTTGCAGGAGGCAGCCGAACGCCGAGAAGAAGAACGAGAAGCTGTGGCGGCGAGGAAGGCAATGGGGCATGGAGCTACAAAGGCGCTGGTGCCCGCCCAACAGGTCATACAGCTCAAGCTGGCCGACTAGATAGAGCAGCGTCAACTCCAACTCTCGCCGGCCCCGCCTGCAGCAGCGGACGTCCAAACAGCGACACCACCTGCAAACGTATTCTCACCGTGCAGGCCCATGGTTACTACGGCTATGTTCTTGCTGCACCTTTTCTCGGGCAGACGTCGAATCGAGGATTTCCAGTACCATTTCGAGATGAACATTCGGGAATGCAACTTGGTAGTACTATCGATCGACGTGCAGATAGACCCCGACAAAGGAGACCTGACGAAGCCAGACGTCGTCGAGTTTTGGTGCGCAGCGATGCGACAGGGCAAAATATTTGGTATTGTGGCGGGCCCGCCCTGCGAGACGTGGTGCTCATCGCGCTGGCATGCCGCCGAGGGGAATGCACCACGACCATTGCGTACACATGAATCCCCCTGGGGCATACAAGCAGCTAGTCAAGCGGAGCATCAACAGATCGCACTAGCCAACGAGCTATACAGGACAGCTTTACTACTCATCACCACGGGCCTGCAGCACAACGTTTCAGCCGTACTCGAGCATCCCGCCCCAGCCACCTGGTGCCCTCATGCGCCTAGCAGCTGGCAGCGAGCAGAGACACTCTGGCTCCTGGAGCAGACGGGCGTCGAACTTCACTACATAGACCAGTGCCAGTTTGGGCAGGCTGCGAGAAAACCAACATGTCTGATGGCGGCACACCTCGGTGAACTCGCACAGGAGCTAAGGGCGGTACCTGGGGGACAGCTATGCCGACATACGGGACATGACAGAGCATACGGACGAGACGGCCAAGGCGGCTGGAGGACCGCCCCCCTCAAAGAGTATCCATCAAGGCTGTGCAAGGCAATGGCTACCGCTTTCGCAGCCCACTGGGGGCAGCTTGCTGACGAAGAGGCAATGTGGGCCGAAACGGATGAATGCTACCACAGGTTCTACGCCCCCTTGGATTACTACATTGAGCCAGAGCAGCTCGGCCATGATTGCCACAGGGCATGGGGCAACCATCGGCGCTAGCAGCTGGCACTGCAGCGGCACTACATTATTTGGTGCAGTTAGTCGAGTCAAGCGTTCAGTATTATATACTTCAGCCCCGTAAGGGAACATTGGTCTGCATTTTGGCGCAGACCACCGGCTTGCTACAGATTTGAGGGCAGCTGGCATTACAATATTGTATACAGAGTATTTCAGATTGGCAGCAGACGTGTCAGCATCAGCGCACCTACTGCATGGCCCAACACCCCGTTGCTAATGGGTTACTGGCACGGCTGCGACCTGGACAACGATTGCGTGCCACACTCGAGGGGGGGGGACCCGTAGCGCCCATACGGGTGGGCACGATCCCTCAATGGCGACGGAGCGTGCCCCCCCCTCGAGCACTTTCTGGATTTTGCGACTTTCCACCATTGGCATTTATTTCTATGATTATCTTGCGCCCTGCACAAGGCATTATGGTGTGCTGCTTAAGTCCTGAAGAAGCCCCGAATGCGTGGGAAGACCTCAGGCAGCGTCGCCAAGTTTTGCTATGGTTAGAACGCAAGTCCTGGGGAAGCCCCGAATGCGAGGGAACACCCCAGGCACAAGTCGCCACGTTTTGATGTGTACCCCGGCGGCGACTGGATATCTACAATTTGGATGGCGCTAGCTGGCTGGCAGCGGGCTGCCCATTGGCCGTCAGCGTACCACCGACCGACATCGACAGCATATCCAGCACGACCCCCCACAACTCCTGCCAAGTCAACGCTGTCCTGGTGAGGATCAAACTTCGAGACGGGCTCGAAGGGCTGGGGGGGAAGGACGAGTACTTCCCGCGCCCGCCAGCGGGGATGGTGAGGGGCAGGGGGGGGGGTAGGACGGCCACTACCTGCGCCCCCGCGGTCCGCCCTAGCTCGCCACCCCCACCATTCCCATGGAGAAGGAGGAGCTACCCGATCGCCCGAGGGCGAAGCTGGACAGCCGAGACAGCCCACTCCGACGATAACAAGTACCAGGCCTGGGGCTCGCCCCCACCGAGGGCACCGTGACCCCTAGCCATAGCGGGACGAGGTGGGACAGCAACGACCCCCACTTGAAGTCGGTGCATGGAGGCCTTGGTAGCCCACAACCAACACAACACCAGCAACGAACCGACCCCCAACGACCGTCCAACTCGCTCCACATCTTGCACTCAGCCCCCATACATCGACATCTACAACATCCGTGACAGCACCCCCCTGCCCCTCAAAAGCAGGGGGGCCATGACTGACGACGGCAGCACCGCAGCTCTACATGGAGCCCTACAAGGTGCAGCTCTGCAACGTCAGGCAGTACTGGAAGCCATGGAGTACTCGACCAGAAGGGGCAGCCTGCCCCGCGGTGAAGGAGACACAGCGCCTGGCGCCGAAGGGTGTCTCCCCACCGCCCTCGCGTGGCAGGCGAGGAGATTGCTGCAGAGCCGCCGGAGTCCAAGAGAGGCTCGGCGGGCCTCCACAGCGCTAAGCGCCGAAGGGTGGAGGCCGCCGCAGAGAAGGCGGCCGTCCATCTGATGACCTGGCGGCTGGGCTCAGCGCGAGGCGCCGAAGGGAGCCCAGCCGCCACACAAGAGGCCTACCGCCCACAAAGAGGCCGAAGGCCTGGCTGCGCGCCGAGCTGGCTGAGCTGGCACGGGCGAGCGCGGCGCCCGCTGAGGGCCCAGACGGGCCGTCATCTTTTTAGTTTTGCTGAAACCCGGCCCCCCTTCTCCCTTCTCTTTGATTATTTGGTCCCTGGCTCCCTGCTTTCCTCGGGGTCGGGTTCCCGGGGCCGCTGTCTGAGTGCCCGCACGGCCCTGGAGGGCCGCTGCAGAGCGCTCCGCGCCCGCGGGGCGCGCGACAAGACGCTGTATAGCGAGAAACGTAGAAACGTAGGAGGAGGAGGAGGAGGAGGAGGAGGAGGAGGAGGGGCGGAAGGGGGGTGGTCTGGCTCCGGACCTCTGCTTCATGCGACTGTGCTTGCAACCGTGCGTCCCGTGGGGGAGCCTCCACCTGCTTGCAACAGGCGTCCAAAACAGCCAAAATCAACCCCATGGGAAGACCAAAAGGTACCGATACCGCTACTTCCTGGACCTCTCCTGGGGTGCGTTCTGACCAGGATTTCGAGGCGAATCCAGCGCTGGCGACGAGGGCCTCCGAGGAGGCCCACAAAGAGGAAAACGCGGGGAGGGTAGAGGTAAGGGTAACTCTACGCACTCCTCACCCGATCGATCCAAGGGGGGCGGGGCGGGGGGCGAGGGCTCGCCGCGGAATCCCGGGATCCATGACGGCCCGTGCTGCGGAAGACGGCGCCGCGCACGCGCGCCCGGCCTTCGCTCGGCCTCCCCGAGAGCCGGAGGCGGTGGTGGTCTGGGTCGAGGTGCCCACGGGAGCGGTGGTGCTCTGCGTGGAGCTGCCCTGGCGGCGGCGGCGCGGCGAGGGGGGCCCCCGGGAGGCGCGCGCCAGACAGGCGCGCCCCACGGCTCGCAGAGTAGCTGCTCGCAAACGGCCTGGATCCGCTGCGGGGGGATCTACGGTCCGTTCTATGTATATATATACATAGAACGGACCATTATATACATATACATATATAGAGATGTGTGTATATATATATATATGAATATTCATATCTATATATGTGCATATACGCGGTCCATCTACATATACATCCAATTTATATGTAAGTTTTATATGTGTATATGTTTATATGTATGTATATATATATATACATATATATACATGTATACATATATGTATACATATACACGGTCCATTCGCGCACGCGTGATTGCCGAGTTTCTGCGAGCAGGCACTCTTTGCGAGCAGTGGAGCGCGCTCGGCGATGACGTGCGGCGCCGCCCGCCCCAGGATGGCTGGCGGGCAGGCTCTGGCAGGTCTGCGCGGCGTGGCTACGGTCAGGTCAGGTCGGGCGTGCCCTCCCACGGGCGGATCCTGGAAGAGAGTTGTCTTGCCGTCGCTCGGACGTCCATTTCCTGTGCATTTGTCGGTTTCGTGCGTGTTTTTTTGGCTCGATGGTCCAGGATGGGCCTCGATGGTTCTCGCCGAGGAAAAAATGCACACGTCCGAGCGATGCCAAGTTGTTGAGATAGTCGAACATATTCCAAAATAGTCCAAAATCGTCCCCACCCATTTTTTTGGGGGGCTATTGTGGCTATATCTGAATATTCCTCCTGTAGAGGGACCCTGCGGTGACGAACCCGCTGGGCCTGGGCACGCCGTCCGTCTTGTCCGACCCGCGCGTCGGACCTGGCGGCTGCCTCGGGCTCGCGGGCCCCTTCTCCTTCCTCCTGTGCCTGCAGGCGACGTGCTGCAGCGGAGATGCTCTGCAGCTCTGAGCGCGCGCAGTCCTAAGTTCAACGAAAACGCCCGAGAGCTGGGGAAATCACAAAAAGGCCCACACCGATACTCCCCGGACCTCTCCCGGGATCCGCTCTGACCAGGATGTCCGAGGCGAATCGGGCGGCGGCGACGAGGGCCGCCCGGGAGGATCCAACAGAGGAGCATGAGGGAAGGGTGGATACCCTGGGGGCGCGCAATCATGGATTAGCGATTGGCCCGCGGTGGCCAAACCAATGGATCGGGGGAGGTGCCCTCCCCAAAATGCGGCCGGTGCCGCCTCGCTCAGCGGAGGAAGTCCGCGATTTCCCATGGAAACGGGACCCGTCGCTAATCCACGCCCCCTTCATCCATGTTTGCGATCGCCTGATAGTCCCAGGACCATCCACCTCCTCCCCCCACCCATGACAGAGCGCAGAGACAACTGGCTGACAGCCTCGTCTGAGCCCCGAGATCGGCTTGGCGGCTGAGTCCGCATGCTGGATCTGCGACAAGGTCTCCGTTGCCAGACCCCCGACGTCATGATTTTTTCATGACGCGACCCCCAGAGGTCCGGACCTATTCGACGGGACCCGATTTTCACCCCGAGTCGTTTTTTGACGGTCCCGAGGGCCGGTAAGGGCCCCCCGGAGGCCGAAAACATAGAAAAACTCCCGTCGTGATTTTTTCATGACTCGAGGGGGTCTGGGTTCGCAGCAACCTTCCGCGATCGGATCGCGGGCGCATTGCAACGCCAGACGCCACGGCGCTAGGGCGGAGCGCGAAGAGAGGCCCCACGCACGCTCCCGAATGTCTGCGCCGGCGCGGGAGGCCTGGCATTCGCGCATGCGTTCCGAGCCTACAGTCGGGGCGTTGACCTAAGGAACCCCAAATAAGGAACGAGGCCCCTTTTTTCCATAGGTTAACCTTCGATTTCCGGTCGAAAACATGCGGGAAGCCTGAGGCAAGCTGTGAGACACTAAGGAACGCGGAGCCCCTCCCCAGCGAAAAGGGTTCCTTCTTCAGGGCCCCGACTGTACCCCTGAGCGCCATGCTGGGATGGAGAGGGAGGCAGCAGAGTCCAGAGAGGTAGGAGGAAGCACGGCACCTGAGGGCCCAAACGAGTCGCGTACACAAACACTCGAACGAGCCGCTCTTCCATGCAAGTAGCAAAGAGCATGTCGTTCGTGAAACTCGCACGAGCACGAATCTGTTCGACGTCTCGACAATCGCTCCAAAACCGTGTAAATGCAACGCGCAAATGGGTCCCGTGGGCTCCGCTCCAACCGCATAATGCTGCTCATGCTGTTTCGGTACACCCTCAATGCCTTGAGCGTACTGCTGCTGCTCAAGATTTCGATTGATCCTGGGCCTTCGGTCGGGCCTGCATGATCGGAAGGCTGGTCGGAGCTGGAAAACTCGGAAGGGAGCTGGCCAGGGCCAGAAGCAAAGGAAAGGCCAGCCGCCAGTTCTCCCTCCCCCCCCCCCTCCATCCCTGCTCCTCCTCTTCCTCCTCCGTCCTCCTCCTCTTCTTCCTCGTCCTGATCGTCCTCATCCTCGTCCTCCTCCTCCTCCTCCTCTGCCTCCTCCTCCTCGCCCTCCTCCTCCTCTTCCTCCTCCTCCTCCTCCCTCTCCTCCTCCTCCTCCTCCTCCTCCTTCTCCTCCTCCTCCTTCCTCCTCCTCTGCCTCCTCCTCGTCCTCCTCCTCCTCCTCCTCGTCGTCCTCCTCCTCCTCCTCCTCCTCCTCCTCCTCCTCCTCCTCCTCCTCCTCCTCCTCCCCCCTGCACCTCTTGGACAGGAGCCCCTGGGCCGCAGAGCCCCGCTCGGGGCGCCACCCGGGGGCGCCACCCCGCAGAGAGCTCTCTGGACGCTCACTGCTGCCCGGCCCAGGCCCCCGAAGGCGGCGGGGCGGGGAGCAGCGGGGCGGGGGGGTTGAGGGGGGCAGGAACAAAAAACAGAAGGCAGGCACGAGACCACCCAGGCAGAAAAAAGGAAGGGGGGGGAAAAGGGGGGGGGAGCAGGATACCCCCCCCCCCGGGAACGCGGAGGGCAGAAGCGGCAACCCGGGCCGAAAGAGGCAGACGGCGGACAGAAAAAGAAGGCAGAGACATCCAGTCTCATACATTTGTTTTTCTCGGCGGCAGGGCCACCACGAGGAAGGGCGCCGAGAGAGCCGCGTGGCCGTGTTTCCTCCGGCCTCTCGGCTCCGCGGCGCGTGCTCAAAAGCTCGGCACCCGGGCGCGCGGACCTGCGGGGAGCAGCACCTCGGAGGCGCGCAGAGGCGAGGACGGGGTGGCAGTCTGAGGCAGGGAGGCCTCGCAGAAGCCCTGCTGCCCTGCCAGAGGCCCCCTGAGAGAAGCCCGCTGCCTGCTCAAGCGGGCCGACATCGGATCGCGTCCTCCCCGATGTCACGAGATGCCTTCGTGCAGAGAGGGCTGGCGCTGGATCAGGGGGCCCCGAGCTGCTGCCAACGCAACAGGGGGCGGGCGGACGCACACGAACCACTCTTCTGACTGCGCCGTCCTTCCTGGCTCGCGCTCTGCGATGTGCAGACGGCCACGGCACACGCACGCGGGTCACATCTTCGAAAGCAGGGGGATGAGCGATGGGGCTTCGCCTTCGACGAGCACGGCGGATCTGGCACAGAATACGAGCCACGACAATCCATCCTCAGCCGCGCCATGCGCGCGCAGTCCCGAACTGCCTGCGGACCACACGCGCGCCAAGTGAGTGCTGGCTACACAACCGCTGCGAAGCCATACAGCCATACAGCACCATGCTGCGACAGCCAATGCAACAATCGTTCACAAAAGACCTTGCCCGCTGTCAATATTGGCGCCGTCGGACTGAGTCATTACCGTGAGCAGCGAAGTGGATGAGCAGGGGAACCTTCAGAAGACCAGCGACGGCCTCATGCTGCTGCTGTCGCTGAACGCCAAGGGAACCGCTCGGGAAAGCAGACCTGTATCGACCACATCCGCGCCCGCTGTGAACGAGCGATCTCCGTGCCCATCGATCACAGCTATGCCTCCAGCCGCTGCTGCACAAACGGGACGGGGGGAGGGCGGACATCCGACGTCGTGTTTTGTCTTCCAAAGTGGCTCCTCAGAGGTCTCGACCCCCTCCCCAGGACCAGATTCTTATCCTGAGTTGTTTTGTTGACTGTCCTGGGGCCTGCTGAGGGCCCCTCCGGAGGCAGAGAATGACGAAACCTTCCGTCGCGTCTTTGCCGCAGCGAGAGGATGCCAAGACGGGGGAAGAAGGAGGAGCAGGAACGAAACGGGGGCACGGAGAGAGGCAGAGAGAGAGAGAGAGAAAACAAAAAAAAAGCGAGAGAGAGAGAGAGAGTGAAGGGGCCCTGGGACACACAAATAAATAGACACAAATAACAGGATTCCCCATATGTTCCCATATTTTCTGGGTTTTTGTCTTCCCCCCCACTCCCTATAGTTTCCCATATTCTCTGCGGAATCGAAGACTATTTGTGTCTGTGTGTGTGTGTTGTTTCCCTCCTGAGCGAGAGAGAGAGAGAGAGAGACTCACGCGGCGAGAGCGAGACGAAGCCAAGCCCAAGCCAGAGGCCGCGCACGGCGGCGTGCGAGCAGCGGGCGCCGCGCCTGCGCCCAGAGCTGCAGCTCGGCCTCCCGCTGCCCCTCTGCAGGGAGGCAGCGGCAGGAGGCGGAGGTGGGCAGTGCCACCTCCTCCTCTGTTTTTTTTGGTTATTTGTTTTTTTTTGTTCCTCCTCTGCTTCAACCTCCTCGTCGTCCTCCTCACCCCTTTCGGCGGTGGACAAACCTCCCTTCAGTAAACCACTTTAGCGAAAACGGCCTGGAACTGAAACAGACGGACCTGGACCCGCAGAAAGGACGGCCGCGACGCCCTCTCGCGAGCCGAAAAGGGCCAGTTCGCTAATCGACGTGTCAGGGTAGGAGGTCTGTCCACCCCCGACCCTTCTGGGGTGTTGCCAAAGGCGTCCCTGGCCCAAAGCGTCTCCAGGATGCCCGGGGAGACCCAGATGGCGTCCAGAGCACCCATCACCAGGCCCACAGGGGGCCCAGGGCTCCCAACATTGCGCCCAAAGCTCGGGACACCTTGGACAATAACCACTTCTAGTACAGTCGGGGTGGATTGGAGAGGACACGCGAGAGGACACAAGACCCTTCCGATTGCCATATTGCCAGTGGAACGTAGAGGGCATGGGTCGCGAAACACAGGACACAAGGGTACCCTTCGTTGGGCAGGGTCGACCTACTTACTAATCAAACTCGACTGCAACACCCGACTCCCCCTTTTCGAATCTCACCTGGGCCATGGTGACAGCCCGAGGGGGCGAACCACCACGACACCACGATCGAAGTCCGCCGGCCTCATGTGTGTGTGTGTGTGTGAGCCGGGCAGCTCTCGAAGCACTGAACTGATCGGACAGTGGAGAGGTGACGTACCAAATCCCTGAGGATGCGCCCGGCCCCTCTCCACCCGGAAATCGGCGCCTGGTCACGCCTAACTCCGTGCTGCCTGGACTCCGGGGGGCCCGAGGGCGAATGACAAACAGCGGTTCTGGGCTTCCGAAGCCACGGTCCACAAGAACAAGCTGACAACTGGCCCGCCCTCCGGAGGCCAAGATCTCTGGCAAGACACGCTGGATCCGCGCACTCCGTGCCACGACCCCCTCATGAAATCCATGCGCTCCCGCTCCCGCAGCAGCTCTCCCCCGTATTCTTCTCTGAATGGATCCGCGCTCCCAAGACCGCGGCCCTCGGTAATAAGGTCTGAGCCCGCGCTCCCGAGGCCGCGACCATTCGTAAAACAAATGATGGCTCTCTGCTCCCGAAGTAGCGGCCTCTTGTACAATGAACTAATGACCCGTGCTCCCCGAACCACGATACCACGTGAACTCAACCAGCACGCGCCAGCGCTCGGAGCCCGCGCTCCCGAGGCAGTGGCCCCGAGCAGCGCAGACGATGCCCCCGCTCGGGAGGCGACGAGTGCCCTGTGCAGACACGGGCCACGCCTGAAAACCTGTTCGGGAGCGGCCAAGAGGGGGGGGTCCAAGAGGGGGGGTGCCAAATCATGACCGGCGGCACGTGCGCGGCCCAGCGGGGGGGCCAGGGACGCAATGAAACAAGAAGAGGCGCCATGAAATCTGGGGAGATATCATGGCCAACGCCATGAGATCCACCCCCCCTAGTCATCACCTCCCTCTTTTCCGCCCCCGACCTGTGGCATCCACGCTCCCGGCGCGTCGAACCCCTACAGTCGGGGCGTGGACCTAAGGAACCCTAAATAAGGAACGGGGCCCCTTCCTCCGATAAGTTGAGCTTCGATCTCCCGTGGAAAACCTCGGGAAAACAGAAGGCAAGCTGCAGAACAGTCCAGGAACACCGAACCCCTCCCCAACGAAAAGGGCTCCTTCTTCAGGGCCCCGACTGTAGGGCAGACAATGACCGGAGGAGAGCCGCGCTCCTAAAACAGGGCTAGGATCGGGATAAATCGCTCCAGAGCGTTCCGGATCGCTCTCAGAGCGTTCCGGAACGCTCTGGAGCGGCCGCGGCGCCCAATATACCCTCCAAACCCGCCGATTCTCAGAGATTTCGAGTTATCCCGATCCGATTTTGTCCCGATCTTCGCGTCGTTTTAGCTCCCGAGGCCCTGGGAGCACTGCGACCCCCACACGCCGGGCCCCGCGCCTCCCCCGAGAGGCCGCGGCGCCTCGCAGCAGAGGCGGTGGGCCCGTAGCTCTCCCGAGGCCACAACCCGCAGCGGAAACCGAGAGGCGGGCAGCGCCTCCACGGATACAGTCGGGACGTTGACCTAAGGAACCCTAAACAAGGAACGAGGCCCATTTTTCCGATCAGTGAAAGTTCGATTTCCCGTCGAAAACCTAAGGAAGACCTAAGGCAAGCTGTGAAACAATCAAAGAAACCGGAGCCCCTCCCCAACGAAAATGGTTCCTTCTTCAGCACCCCGACTGTACATCGCGCAGCCGGGCTCCCGAGGCCACTCACCCACCGAGAGGCAATGATGACGAAGACGATGATGATGATGGCGATGATGTCTTCGTCATCATGATCATCATAAGCATCAGCATCACCGTCAGCATCATCATCATCAGCAACATCATCATCAGCATCATAATCACCATAAGCATCATCCTCATCCTCATCATCATCCTCAACATCATCATCATCATCATCATCATCATCCTCATCATCATCATTATCATCGTCACCATCACCATCACCATCACCGTCACCGTCACCGTCACCGTCATCATCACCATCATCAGCAGCATCATCACCATCAACACCGTTGCCATCATCGTCATCATCATTAGCATCATCACCACCATCATCATCATCATCATCATCAGCATCATCATCATCATCGTCGGATCCGCGTTCCCGAGGCCAGAGTTGCTATGTGAGAGCCGGCGGATATGAGGCCACCCAGCCAGACGCCCAACCAACCAGCAAACCCACGAACCAGCTCGTCAGCTAGTCGACCATCCCTCCCATCCAGTCGCACCAGCCATGCGGGGAGTCAGAAGGGGTGGGGCCGAAGACGGAGGGCAACTACCCTTCACGCCTCCTCTCACCATCCCATCTCCCCTCTGCTCAGCTTTTCTCCTGCGCAGGCTGCCGAGCGCACTCGCTCGTAGCGTCAGGGACGGCGGCAGCGGCCGCCGACAGCAAGAGAGCGAGCCTCGGGCACCAGCCTCCGCTCCGTCGACCCCAGCAATGAGAGCGTGCAATTCTGCGAGATCGGCCTCGAATGCTTGCTTGGAGCCCGCCCCTCTGCTCAGCCCCTGCTCGCCCCGCCAGTCCCCGATCCGCGGGCTCGCCTGCACGCCCGCCCGCCACCGCCCCGCCCTCCCGCTGGCCTTGCCGAAGTCCGCCTCGAGCTCCCGCAGAGCCTGCGGACTGACAGACGGCGGCCGGCCAGCCGCAAACGACAACAAAACGAGGGGGGAGAGAGAGAGAGAGAGAGAGAGCGAGGGCGCGAAAGCGAGAATAGAGAGGTTTTGGGGGTCTAAATAAAGTCTACAGAAAGCAAAGAGTGATCGGCGAAAAAAAAGAGAGAGAGAGAGTAGGGTGCAGATATATAGCGTCGTAGAGAATGTACCGGATGTGGGGAGCGCAGCGAGCGCAGAGCGTAGATGGTGCTGGCCTTGTGGAAAGCATAAAACATAGAAGAACGAAACAAGTGCAAGGAGAAGGAGGTCGTCTGAAGACCCCAAGGCGGCCTAAGAAGGACACAGTATGACCAAAGAGAGTCCCACGACGGCCCCAGGATCACAAACTGCCGAAGAGGGGCGCCCCAAGGGGCCGCCAAGACTGCCCCGCGGAAGCCCAGGACAGCCCCAAGGCGGCCCAAGCACGCCGGATGCGAGGTCCCGAAGAATTGGAGACGAGAGGTGTCACGTGTGACGGCCTTCTGGGCCGTGCTCGAAGGGTCGTCACACAGATTGCTTGGATGGCAATCGCAACATTGCCTCTCTCTCTATCTCTCTCTCTCTCTCTCTATCTCTCTGTATCTATTCAAATATAAGTAGATCTATGCATGATCCTTGGTCGAGGGTTCTCAGCCCCCCCTCAAGATGGAGGGAGAGAGAACGATGCCGACGACAACTATGACGACGACGGCACCGCAACACCACCCCACACCCACAAGGGGGGGGCGGGGACACTGGCCCCCCCTCCACCAAGCCACGCCCACAGGGCCACGACAACAGGGGGTCGGGGGGGATCCCATTCGCGAGGCCTTTTTCGAGGCTCATGGGTGTACCCCCCATCCAGCGGGGGGGCAGGGGAGGGTCCATGAGAATTTTGGGTTGGAGAAGGGGAGGTGGGGGGGGGCGGGGCCCTGGATCATATAGGGAGCGAAGCGCTATGACAAACCAGCTATCTAAGCCTATAGAACATGTAGTGTGGAGATAACAGGGCGAAGAGAGAACACGCCGACTGCTGCAATAGTAAGGTCAGGTCAGCGAAAAGGAAAAGCAGGGGCTAGAGACGGAACAGAAACTGGGACTGAAGGCATGGACTCAGCAGGGGGTCGAAGGAGGGAGAGAGGAGAGAGCAAGCGATCGACGGAGAAAAATACAAAGAGATGGAGTCCCAGCGAGACATGATTCAATTCTATATACGCCGGGAGAGAGAGAGAGAGAGAGAGAGAGAGAAAAAAAAAAAGAGAGAGAGAGAGAGGAAGAGAAAGGTAGAGGGAGAAAGAGAGAGGGAGAGAGCGGGACAGAAAGAGGGGGAGAGAGGGATACACCCAGGCGCGTACATGTTCACACATGCATTTTCCCACGGGAGCGCACGATACATCTATGCGTGTGCGCTTGTGCATGAAGGCGCCACTTGACCAAAGGCGAGGGCACGGAGGGCCACGCTGCATCCGACCAATCCTTGCCACGCACACCAGGGCCCGCCTCCGCGCCGATGAGCGTGGAGGTGACGGGCAGCACGGCAGCGGCAAGCGCGAGCAGCGCCAACGAGCGTCCCCTGTTGGGCGCCATGGCCTCTTGGCGAGAGGCGCGGAGAAGGGGACCGCTTCTCCCTCCCCTCCCCACCACCCTCCCTCCCAACGGCCATCATCATCATCATCATCATCATCATCATCATCACCACCATCACCATCACCATCATAATCATCATCATCATCATCATCAGCTCAGCTTCATCAGCAGCATCATCATCATCCTCATCAGCATCGTCATCCTCATCCTTATGCTCATGCTCATCTTCACAATCATCATCGTCATCAGTCAGCATCAGCATAGTCATCATCATCGACATCCTCACCCTCATCCTCTTAATCATCAGCAGCATCATGATTATGAGAAGCATCATCAACATCAGCATCAGCACCATCATTATGATCATCAATCTGACAATCATCACCAACAGCATCAGCATCAGCATCAGCATCATGATCATGATCATGATCATCATCAGCTTGATCATGATCATGGTAATGACAAGCATCGTCAACATTAGCAACATCAGCATCATCATCATCGTCGTCAGCATCGTCATCATCATCATCAGCAGCATCATCAGCATCATCATCGTCGTCGCCGTCATCATCATCGTCATCATCGTCATCATCAGGTTCATCCTCCTGCTCATCGACACCCTCATGCTCGTAACCAGCCACGAAATTATACGACCCTCTCGAGGACGCGGGCAATCATCCCTGAGGCAGTGCTGGTGCGGAGCAACCTATTAGCTCAGCCAGGGAGCGGTGTGGACAGCTTTTGTGGCATCACCTGCTTGGATCAGGAAGTTGAAGCTTTCCGCCAGCCTATGGTGAATGAGGGGTGACGTGGCCGACTGAGAATGTCTTGGGCAGTTTGTTTTGCAGAGGGGGGTTGGCGGGCTCTCATGGTCGCGTGTTGGACTGGCCTTGCGGGCGTTCTGGTGGTCGATCTCGGGCCAGCAGTGTCTGGCAGTCGTTTGCGCATGTCGGCCAGTCTTAGGTCCATCAAGTCGCGAGACTCCGTGCAAGAAACAGAGAACATCTGCGGGCTGTCCGTGTCTGTCAGAGATGGGCCTCACGCCGACTAACAAACCCCGACCATACGGGCGGCTGGACCTCAGACAGAAAAACATGGTTCAAGAATGTGAGACCCTCCGCTGGCCAAACTGAAAAAAATTCGATCCCCAGGATGCACAAGGACATCCAACAAGCACGATGAACATCAGGGTACGCTCCCCGAACCGACCTCGACCTTATACCTCGGTCCAACCGTATTCGAAGGACATCCTGGAAAAGGCACTGGGAGGCGAGGGGGCTGCAGGGCTATTGTGCAATCCCCCGGGCACTTGGGCGGGAAGGCTCCGTGGCGCCTGGGGCGACGCTTCGGCAATCCGCCGACCCTTCGGCGTGTGCGAGAGGCTTTGCCCTCGTCGTCGTCGTCGTCGCCAGTCCCAAGGAAATTGAGCAACAAAAAAAACGTCGTATTTGAGTCGATTCCCTGCTCTTTGTCTCCTCCCGGACGGGGGGGGAAGAGGGGGGGTGGGGGGGCTCGCAGTACCGTCGGCTCGATGAAAAAGTGCGATTGGCATCTGAAGCGGAGCTGCGATTGATCAAAGGGGGTGGTCTGGGAGGCGGACGGGGCCAGGGGGGGGACCTCGTTGCGCAAGGGGTGCGATTTTGGCCCGGATTGCGTCGAAAGCCCAGTTTCTTTTCTTCCTCCTTCCTCCTCCTCGTCCTGATCCTCCGCCTCCTCCTGCCCCTTCCTCCTCCTCCAAGGCTCTGGCCCGAGCTCCCCCCAATTCCCGCCTGGGTCCCACTGAGGTGGACGAGGCGGGGCGGAAGGCTTCCTTTCACATCCGCGGTACAGCCGTTTCCATACACAATCCCTCGCCCTCATTCTTCCAGGCCTTCCGTGCTGACCTTCCACACTCTTGCGCTTCGCGAAACGCCGAGCTTTCCTGCGTTTCCTGAGGCTTCCAACAGATTCAATGCACCACCTTCCGTGCCTTCCGCAGAGGTCGGAAGGTATATGGAAGGTGGAGGTAGAGGGATGCTTCCGCTCGAAAGCCTCTGCGTGCCAACCGCACCTGCGGCCAGCCGCGACTCCTACACCGGTCCGTGAAGGAGCGGCCCAGCGCCGTGAGAGACACGGACGGGCGGACGACGGGCCTTCTGGCCAGGCTCGCGGCCGCACGTGACGAGGTCGTTAAAATCAACGACGAGGCCGAGCCTGCATTTTGACGAGGCCTCCCGCTGCAGACATCCCACGAAACTCCTACTCGTCAAAATCCGAGTCGCGGTCGTCAAAGAACGATGGCGAACCCGAGTCCTGGCAAACCCGGGTCTTACGCTCCCCCGAAAGAGTCGTCGACCCAGGTATCCTTGACAGACTCGCAGAGGTGCCTCAAACACTCGCCAACCACCACCCTGCCCAGCCAATGAGTAATGCGGGATGACGATTCATACATAGAATGGGAGAGGACGGTTTAAGACATAGTTTTCTGTTATGTCTGCATCATTTGCTGACTGGAAGAGAATGATTTAAAACAATAATTTTCCAACCCGCGGCCGGATTCTTCTAATCGTCATTCCGGGCGCCGCCGCGTGAACACGACCCCCGGTCATTTATTGATCGTCATCCTCCATTACTGGGTCAAGGGGCTGCCCAGGATGCGCTGCTCCCGACCTCGTGGAGACATCTACCTGTCGGTCCTGCTGGGCTGTCGATCATCGAGGGCAGAAGCTCCACCCCGAGAAGAACCACCCCGACGCGCGACGCCGCCTAGGAAACGCACCCGAAGAGGGAATCAAACCAAGGCAGGGCTGTTTAGTAAACGCCCCGGGCCGTTTGGTAAACGCCACTTGTCCGGTCCAGGTGGCTTTTCTGGGGAAACCACAAGGTACCCATACGGCTTCTCCCCGGACCCCTCCCGGGGTGCGTTCTGACCAGGCTTTCGAGGCGAACCCAGCGGCGGCGACGAGGACTGCCCAGGAAACCCAAAAAGGGGAAAACGGGCGGGGGGTAGAGGTACATTCAGAACTTGCGTTAAGAAATTATTTGTTAAGAAATTGAGACCCAGCTTCGGTGAATTTCTTAACCCCGGTGCGAAACCCAGCTTTCGCCCCCGAATTTCTTAACGAATCGGGTGTTGCCACGCGACCACCGGCACAGCCAACCAGCACGACCACCGAGAACCACCACCCAGCAAGACGACCCAGCACGACCACCCGACACGACTGCCCAGCAGGACCACCCAGCACGACCACCCCCCAGCACGACCACCCAGCACGACCCCCGGGCACGACCACCCCCCAGCACGACCACCCAGCACGACCACCCAGCACGACCACCCAGCTCTGACTCTCCCCCCTTGAAATCTCAGGAGCACCCAGCTCCCCGTCCACGCCACGACCCGTCGCGGCGGCGAGGAGAACACCGGAAGGGCCATATTTCATGTCGGGCCTGTCCCCCTGCAGGGGGATTTTCGACGAAAACTGAAAATATACCCCCAAAATGCCCCAAACAGGTCAGACAATGCTCAAAAAATAGTCCCCAGGCCACTTTTGGATTTTTTTGTTTTCGTTTACTATTTTTTGGGTTTTTGTTATGTTTCGTCGAAAATCCCCCTGTAGGGGGACAGGCCCGACTCAAGCCATGCTGCGGAGGGCTCCGCGAGGGGGCAGCCGCGGGGCTGCGCCGCGAGAGGCGCCGCCTCGGGAGGCCAGGCCGCGACGCAAGGGCCCCGGCGACGGCGCGGGCCCCGCGGGGGTCGCACGGCCAGGCCAACGGCCTCGGCCACTGCGGCGGCGTCGTCGACGACGAGGAGCAGGCGGACGACCTACCAGACCTGCCATACCTCCCGGCCTTAGAGGGCCCTGGAAACGACAGGGCCGTTTTTGTTACCGGTTCCGTTCTGCCGTTTTTTTGCCGGTTCCGACGCCGTTTTTTTACCGGTTCCGTCGCCGTTTTTTGACCGGTTCTGGCTCCGGCTCCAATCCTGGAGCTGTTTTTTTGCGCGCTTTTTTTGCCGTTTCCATTTTCAAGAGATATTTTTTGGGAAACGGTAGCAAAAACGGCCCTGCCGTTTCCAGGGCCCACAAAGTACCAGACCACCCCAACCCAACCCGAAGACCCGAATTTCGGGTTGGGGGGGGGTAAGGGTTCCACATGTGTTTTTTCAATGTTTCCCGACCCCCCCCCACTGGAAATCGAGGGTGAATCTGAGCCTTCGGGTTGGGTTGGGGTGGTTTGGTGGGTGGTGACAGGCAGGGGGGCGGATTCGCACCGGACTCGGCCGTGGACAAACGTCCCTTTCGTAAACCTCCCCTTGGTGAAAACCGCTTGGGACCGAAGCCGACGGACCTGGACCCACAAAAATGACGGCCGCGACGCCCTCTCGCGAGCCGGAAACGGCCAATTCCGTAATCGACGTGTCAGGGTAGGAGGTCTATCCACCTCCGACAGACTCTCGGCAGCATGCCTGCTCTCCCTCGAGCTGCTCGGCTGCGCTCCAGGGCCTCGAGGCAGCGCCCGCGGACAGGGAGCACGGCGTGTCGAAACGACGTCAAGAGCCAAAGGCGCCAGCGGCCCCCGTTCGTATGAAAGACGATTTCATCGAAAATTCGGAGAACGAGAGATAATGTTAAGTCGGGCGTGTCCACCTACAGGGTCTTTCTTAGACGAAAAATAAAACATACTCAAAACATACTCCACAATGATTAAAAATACTCCAAAAATAGTCCCCAGACTATTTGTTGACTATTTTTGAATATTCCTCCTGTAGAGGGACGGGCCCGACTTAAAGAGAATGGTTCAGTGATCTTCTTACAAATGCGCATCGTCGACGGCCAGGGCAAAAGCAGTGCGGCAGACCTCCTCCTCCTCCTCCTCCCCCCTCCTCCTCCTCCTCCCCCTCCTCCTCCCCCTCCCCCTCCTCCTCCTCCTCCTCCTCCCCCTCCTCCTCCTCCTCCTCCTGCTGCTCCTCCCCCTCCTCCCCCTCCTCCACCTCCGCTTCCGCCTCCGCCATCCCGCCCGCCCTC